TGTATTAATATGGAACTTTAAACAAAATGGTTTTATTTACAGCTTCTGCGTGGACATAAATTCATGGGAGTGACCCTTTAGCTCTTTCAGATTGTGTGCTTATAATATTTTTACATAAATATTTGAAATGGTAAATATGGACTGATATCTGTTTACCAGTGGCGGATTTACCCTAAGGCCCAGTAGGCCCGGGCCTAGGGCGGCCAGATTTTAGGGGCGGCCAATCGTGACAAAAAATTCACTGATGATGACAAGAAATAACTTAAACTACCTAAATATTCTAAAGGCTCACACATCGTATAACAATAATCTTCCTAAACCACTTTCGTACATTTTATGTATAAAATATAGATACGTTACATATCTATAATGTTATGTATAATTACTACATCACTACGTCTGTTTGTCTGTCTGTCTGATCGCGATGAACTCAATAACTACTGAACGGAATTTCATATGGTTTCCACCAATAGATATAGTGATTTATAAGGAAGTTTGAGGTGACTAATTTATTTAAGTTTTGTGTAATTTGACTGAAATATGACGATAAATGTTTAAGATGTCGGAAAAAATCATGCCATCATGCATGCAAAATCAAAAATTTCTGAATCGATTTCGAAAAAAGTTGGCAATAAAGTAAATTCATTATGTAGTCTACCAGTATATGATGACTTCTGAGAAAGGGGTGGCTGGTACTGACTACATGGCCTGAGGCCTAGGGCGACCAAGACTGCAAATCCGCCACTGCTATTTACATAAATCATCTTATTTATTATTCTCAGCGGAATGCCTTACGAACAAGCAGATATGGGCGAGCGCCCGGGTTTTAACCCGGCGCTTTGTTAATGCTAGGTTTTAATCCATTAACCCATTTAACTCCCGAAATTGAGAGCAAAAACTAAATATTTGTAAATCGACTTTTGTTCAAATGTAATGATATTATTTTAAAATGTTTATTTCAATTTCAAATGTCATTAATTCGGAATATACATCCATAGAGGTTAGTAACATAGCACTTCAAAATAGAGTTAGTACTAGAAATTACCATTTTTTCTAAAACTAATATGCAACCGGAACTAGCTCGTGAAACGAATTCTGGACACTGTTTGCAATTATACTCAGGAGGTTGTTGTCTTTTTCGCATAGTAACTGCAAAGCCTTAGCTATGGCGAGCACCCCAGATGCAGCGCAGGCAGCAAATCGAGGCAGCTGCAACATCCTGAATATATTATTGTACAAAATTCGTAGCATAAATTATTGCTTACTATTATTTCGTCTTTCTCTTGAATCGATTCACTTGAAAATCGCATTGAAGTTAACCGATACAAAAAATTTGTTGTCGTAATCCCTTGAATAGAATTTTCATTAAAATCGAATCGTAATGTGCATCCCTAGTAGTAAATGAGAGTCTACGAGTAAATTACAGGATTGCAAGGTGGATTACGTGGAGTTGCCTCTTTTTCGTCCAAAAAAGATTTTTTACATCGAAATTTTTAATAAATATGGAATTATACTAAAGTCCGTATTATTTTACGCGAATAATGTTTCTGCCCACGATTTTGGGCAGGAATGGGTTAAAACCCAGCGTCTTGGGTAAAAACCCGGGCGTGTTGATTGAGTTTTAATTTACTGCCAGCTTTACGAACAAGCAGTAGCGTTCTATCAAATTGACGATTTCAACTAGAATTTGTTTACTTAAGAGATAAAGATATTTTGAATGTTGAATTTAAAATTGATCCATTTTACGAACTGTTACAAATCAAGAGATTTTAATTGAACAGCAGGTTTTATTACTTTGAGACTTTGTTATTGTCATCTTAGTATGATCATAAATCCTATACAATCGGACTAAATGTACAGTAAAAGTAAATACTTAGGTACAAAACTGTTTAACAAAATACGTAAAATCCTCGTAAATTGCGTCCTTGTATATTGTGTTACTGTCACAAAGGGTTGGAGCGTCTCAGTGTCAGCGTACGCGCATTCAACCGCCACTCGTGCGCCGATTGATTCAGCTAATGTGCACGACGGTAATGACTGTCCACAGATTTACAGGGCACTCGATTGTTGATAGCTTCCAGTTTTTTATTGCATGAGCACAAGAGGTGTTTTTTTACTTGTTCCATTTTGTTCATTATTGTTGAATTGATGAATAGTTACATAAATATTGAGAAGTGTTGTATGTCAAGAAAAAATTTCTAATTTTTTTTTTCTTTAAGAACATTAGATTCTTTTGTAGAAATGTACTGTAGTTGTGAATTGACATAAGCTTTTTTGTTTGCTCTGTCTCTCTCATTTCGACATCTATAGTGAAAGAAAGATACAAATGATATACAAATAAAGTATACAGCCTCGTGTGAACTTCTGGGGCCTTACCATGAACTCTTGTTACAGTTCTGTATAAGTTTGTAATGACTAAAAAGCGGGATGGTGATATACACTTCATGTAGCGCTGTCTCACAACGATTTATTTATACTTTAGGTCCTAAACTGAATCGTAATAAGAGTTAATGGTTAGGCCTGTTAGGTCGATATAATATATTCCATTGCTCCGTATCAAAGATTATGACAAATACAAAGATGAATAAGTTGTTACAAAATAGGTATTTTAATATAAGACACATTTACTTAAACAACTGAAACATTAACTGCAGCATCATTGACCCAAAAAATATGCAAAATTCAAAATAAATACGTCCCAATTCAGATGTAGTACTACAAAACGCCAACATGACTCCCATGTAAACATTTCTCCAAAACACGGGGTTAATAAAATCGTTAGTAAACCTGTAGCACATCGTAACTTACACCCGTACTGACATTTACTGTTGTACTAGCATTTTTACTGTAGTAGTAAAACGTGAAGGCCGAACACTAGTTGTTTGTATGAATTAGGAGAACCCATGCAGCTTCCAGAACATTCAACTAAGGCATCCGGTCGGCCGGTCACATTTTATTCAATCAAGCTTTCTTTTTCGCGTGACATGATAAATGTTGGTAATTTATAAAACGTCGAGTCGTTTAATTACTTTCAAACTGACATTTTGATTATACAACCAGTTCGCATGTGAGTTTATTTATTAATTTCGTTATCTCACCGAGTTACGAACATTTGTCAGAGCCGTAAAATGTATAATGTACGCCTTATGTTCGGTAAATCTTTGGTGAGAAGTACCGAGTACGTACCGATTTATCTGCGTTGAAAATTGCCGTAAAAATTGTGTGTAACTAGAGACAGTCTTAATTAAAATAACAACGAGAAATACCGGTATAATAAATCGGGTAAAATTCATATCCATCGAGTTCTTAGCTTTTCGCGATTGTTACACGTTTCGGGCCCTTTACAGGTACCAGTCAACCGTGATAATGGCACCTATAAAGGGCTCGAAACGTCGTTTTGTTTGAGAAAAACAAATATACGCGACTTAAATTCGGAAAAATAGTTTCATTTCCTAAAATTCATATCTGTTATATTATATATCATGTTCATATTTATCTGTTCAGAAGCATATTTTTTTTTATAATATCAAGTAACGGGACGAAAAAGTCATGCACTTGATGGTAAGCTATCACGTTTTTCCATGACAATTGCAGTGTCACTCAGAGCTTTAAATGGCAAAGGTCTTGCTACCACTGCGCCCGTCAACCTAAGACTTAAGTTGACAAGTCCCATGTGCCTGTAATTTCACCAGCACCCGTACCCTTGGAAACCGGAACGCAGTAATTATCACATTATTTGGCCGCAGAAATAGGCAAGGTGGCAGTACTCCCCTGAACGAACTCTTTCATAAGGAGCTCTACTTAAAATTTCTCTAGGTGAGGGATTTTTATGAATTAACTATACCTATATCTGTGTCAGATCTATAAAACAAAGTTTCGGAGAAACAGTGAGCAGACAAATCTAAATTTATTCCGACTAGCTTCGCATTGGTTGCTCTGACAATGAACTCGTATCAAGTAAACAATCGATCACTCGGCGCGACCTGGCGCTCGCCTCTCGACACTCGCCGTGGCGGATCGTAAATCGATATTTACCGGTTAGAAGCGCAACACTAGTTTTAGTGAGTGAGTCGGATTTTACGATCTATACACTGTAATTAACTGACTTTCTGATTTAGAGATTGGTGTTGATTGGTGCTGTCCAAGTCGACCTGCCGTCAATTACTGACAGTGGTTTACTTTACACGCAGAAAACTGGGATTTCTCTAGTTTTATTGGTTATAAAATACTGACCCAATATTATATATCCTTTGTTAGCATTGTTACAATGCAAACATTTTAAAGTTGGACTTGAAGTTGCTGTAGGTTATCATTTTGTTTCACTCATTTTGTTTCACATGTTGTAATTGACGCAGCACTATCACGTTTATGTATGGACTTGATTGCTATAGAAACAGATCGCGATCTAAAACAGCGAGTTGCAAAAACGGCCTTCAATTTTCATATTATGTCTTCGTTATATCAGATCATCAAGGACAACGTATCCTGTCTTTACCTATAAAATTACCTTTTTAATAAGAAAAAAAATTTTTTTTACCGAAATAAAAAAAAAATATTTAATCAAATATCTCATTACATATTCTTGCCATTTTATGGGCAGTTTGTTGATGCCCCTCCTGTAAAAGGCAACTGCACGGGAATGGACGAAATCTTCAAACGAATTCTTCACTGCCGCTTTGGAGTAGATGTTTTTACTTCACACACAAAAAAAAACAAATGAATAAAAAAACATTTTTGAAAAGAAATGACGACACTTAAAAATAAAATGCAAGTTGCAGATATATTAATTCAAAGTGGCGAGTTCGACAAAATTTTAAAATTAATTAAAATTTTAATTTTAAAATTAATTAATAAAAAATTAATTTTAAAAGCAAAAGCAATTTCATACGTAAATTATTAAGTATTTAGGTATATTAGGATATACCTTTGCCTTCTTCTTCACTTTAATTGAATAGCTTTTGTTATTAAAACACAATTGAAGGGCTTGTTGTTTATTGCAGGGCGTCTGGTAGCGCAGTGATCCTTGACCCACGCATGGTGTGCAAGAAGAACCGGCGCGGGCGCGGGCGTCTAGCGCAGATCTGCCGCAACGAAACAGGTCTCCTCAAGGAGATCTCCCGCGGCGTCACGCTAGGGGCCACAGAGTGTGCACATCAATTTCGACATAGACGTTGGAATTGCACCACTCAGAGGCGCAGTATGAGAAAGATACTTATGAGAGGTAAGTATCCTCCATTCATTTATACTCACATCATTTCCTTTACCAGCAGAAACTGCCAGTCCACAGCCTTGCAAACTCAGAGATACAACATAAGGAATATACTTAGAGGCATATTACATATAATCATACTGTCATCCCATTTCTCAAACTAGTAGCGACTAGAAATCTCAACTTGCTTCTGGCAAACTTACTACTCAGAAGTAGTTAATGGTTATTACGTTTGCAATTCTAGCAGTAATTGTACTGATGTCCACTTGCAAACTTTCTAGTAAAAGGAAAATGGTTTCCAATTCCACTTAGGCACCCTTCAGTCTATTTAAGTAATAATTATAACTTTTTTTTATAAAGAAAATGAACCTCATTTTTTGCTTATCCATTTTAGCTGTGTTTTATTTTCATTAGAATTACATCTATGATTATATTCTGAGTGAAGTAAATGAAAATTCGTCCCTAAATTTGATATCCTTAGAGGTGCAATATTTTCTTCAAATTTGAATGAGACCACTACTACCTTCTTACCCAACAAAAAAAAGAATCATCGAAATCGGTTCATCAATATCAGAGTAACATACACACATAAAAAAAATACAAACCAATTGTGAACCTCTTCCATTTTTGAAGTCGGCTAAATAGGATAATTATTATTTGTGATTAAGGTAAAAAGCTTCTTACGTGTTTTGTGGCTAGCGAATGAGTAACGCTCAACCTCACAAAACAAAAAAAAAATACATGAAATATTCACAGCCAGGCTGTTTTTTTATTTCCGGAAGTTAATACGTAAGTTGTGGTTAACTAAATTTAGCACAATTGTCCGAACTTCAAACACGATTCTTAGTCATTAAACAGTTGAATAAAGCGCTAATAAAATCCAATGACCTGTGAAACCGCAATAAACAATCAATTCGCAATTCATATTCAGTCCAGCCATTCATAAAGGATAACGTTTATTGATACGAAACGTCGACACAGCGGACAATCGATAGATTTAACAAAGATGAGTTCATCAACATTTAGGATACAGTAAAATATGAGTAAAGGATCTGCTACCTGGACGTTTATTAGCCATACAAAAGGAGGCAAAACGTGTTAAATCGCAGATGGATATCGATCCTAATTCGATTAGCCTTAAAGAGTTGATTTTTATGAAACCTCTCATTTATTTGCGTCTCTAGTGACGGGCAATGTCGATTTTTTTTATTTGTATACGGTTATTTGGCATTTTGGTACTTGAGTGAGTCTTTACTCGTACTTCTTTTTATCGCATCATTTTTTTCCTCCAAAGCGCGACACGTATTAATTTATTATTGTTTTAAAAATAAAAAATGAGTATGATAGTTACGAAAATATGTTTATGACTAAAAAAATAAAAAAAATAATCTAAAATATTTAATGATCAAAAATTAAAATAAGAACTAATCTTGTGTAGTCTGGGCTGGCTTTATATAGTTTTCGAACGAGCAATGCTTTAATTTGTCAGGTTTAGTTTTTAAATATGTTCCACGGGCCGAGATCGGCACCACCACCGATTCATTCTCATCAAAACATAACTATCTAAAAGGCGCGGGCGACAGGTATGGCTCTGAGCTCTAAGATATGAGGGGCACTGCCACTGCGCCTGTCACCCTGAAACATTAGTTGACAAGTCCCATGTGCCTGTAAATTCATCAATTCCTTTACACTTTATAGTCGGAACGCAATAGTGCTTGACGGTAAAAATAGGTAAGGTGGCAGTACTTCCCTGGATGAACTCTTTCTAGTTAAAGATTAAATACAACATCTACGAAGACTTAAGATGGGTTTTCTTACTTGACACATAATAGAAAATTTTATAAACCTGCCCTTTTTTACTTTAGGACTCTGATATACTTAAAATGGTTTTACATTTTTTAAAATACATTATGGTAAAGATTAAAAAAAATATTTAAAATACGAATCGCAATTTTGCGGTGAAATTATCATAGTTTTTTTTTATTTTTTTTATTGCGACTCGACAAAATGACTGCACCGCGCCTGATGGAAAGTGCGAATACAGTCCAGAGATGAGAGTAACGGATGGAAAACACAAATATCTTCACTCCGTCACTATCATTTTGCCGGTCTGGCCAAATGCACTGGATGTACACCAACTGATCCCTGAACGCGATTCGCAAAAGCGTTTCACTGTGGAGGGTTTTCCGCCGTGTGTACTGTGGTCGCTATCCAGTCGGCACAGAGCCTACCACAATGCAAATAGTAGTCTTCGAAGTGTGATGTATATTGTAAAATATATTTCATTCTTCGATTATTGAAAAATGCTGTGTACAGTAACCAGTTAAAGGAATCACCACACTTGTCAACCTGGATAGTGAATCGCGAATAGGCGTGCTGCTTACCACCAAGCATGACTTGCTCGTCTCCTTAATTGATATCATAATAAGATGTCGACTTGAGCCGTCCTGAAATGTGCGCTTCGTTTCGTATCGTTCGAATTTAATACAGCTTATGCGATTATGCGCAATAATAATCTATCGATACCAGCGCAGCACTAGCAACCTGACCATTAGTTGTCGACGTGCATTCATTTCTGTTTAATTAGCGAAAATTAAGTAGTTTTTGTCAAACTCCAAACTGGCAAATATTTATAAACACCGAATTATAGCCATTGCCATAAATTATAGTTCCCAAACCTTTGTGTATTATATGCAAAAACAACAGGACGTTTATTGCATGAATGTTCAGTCAGGTTGTGTTTTTATCGTGTGATTTTTTAAATCTTTTGATAACCATTTTGCTAATGTGGAGTAAGTGCATTAATTTGATTCATTATTGGTGGATATGATAGCTTAATTCGTTAGTTTTTATCACGTCGTTTTTTCTAGAGTCTCAAATGAATATGTGAGCTTCCAAATCCTGGATTAGGGTCCCTTTGAAGATAAGTGTCTCGATACTTTAAATTAATTACAAAAGAAAAAAAGACATTTGTCACGTGGGCGGCGGGGTGGGGAAGGCGAGCGCAGAGAGGGAGGTACTCTCAACAAATTAGGTTAAAAGCCTATAAATTGATGCGAACAACGATGGGTGGCGCAGGCGCACCCAGCAGAACCAAATTAGTCCCGGATTTTTATCACTTGGTGACAAAAAAAAAGACTAAAGGGTGTTTCTGATTGCTAAACTGCGAACTTAAACCAACACGTATATTTCTTAAGTAACTTATGTTATTGTTAATTTACTTATTAATAATTTCAATGCAATTTATACTCTAGTGTCTCTGAATATAAAATTTAATATATTAAATTTTGTCGTCCAACTAAATAATAGGTGTAACTAAAAAGTTGAAATTCTCATTTATGTGACGACATGTGTCAGTACAATTTATGAAAAAAGCAAGTCAACCTGTATGTAAAGTTGTATGAGAAAAAATAATGATCGTTAATTGGACCCTTTCATTAGTACGTCGGTGCATTCCTCGGTTCGTTGTTTTTTTTGGTGTCAAGTCTTTATCAATGGAAAAGGATTTCATTCTTATTTAAATTCTGTTATCGAGACTACTGTCCATCGTGAGCGTTTGAGTAATGTTTCACTTAACGATTTCCGTTATTAACTTATAACAACTTTATAAATAAACTAATACGTATCAGAACTAACCTAATCTCATAGTTTCTTAATACGTTCTAATAGCTTTTAGGCATCGAGTATATAGCAAATAGAGATGAAATATGGGCCATAAGATCCCTGGCAACTCATTCGGTAAATGGCGCTAATATCACTTTTAAATATCAACTCTCGTTTGCGCTGAAATCACAAATTAGAAAACTGAAATAGTACAGCGCCAACAACTGACCTGTGTTTACGTCTCCGTATATTTAAAATATATTCTCTATTTGTTGCAATAAAGATAATATCTCTAACAATGGGGGCTGTTCCACTCGGTGTTGTGGGAAAAACAGCAAAATATCTAATTACAAAACAAACGGAATCATATTTCGTCGGTAATTAAATATTAAATACATTATTTTGCAATTTTCGTCCATTATAGCAAAGCTCAAGTTAAACTGGTCAATTTGAAGTGAAGCAATTGACGACATCCGTCAATTGTTTCGAATTTGGGCTGGCCAATCGGAGCCAGTTGTCACCGTAATGATATGGCAGAATAGCTTTTAAACAAATTAAATGACATTTCGTCTTTATTTCTGGTTATATACTCGATGTTTTTAGGTTAAAGTTTAGCTTCGTTTATAATCTAGACGTGATTAGAAAGCACCAAAACATTTAATAATTACTTGTTTTTAATAAGCCACCAGAATAAAATAAAAACAAAAAATAAATTAAAAAATCAAGCGACGTAGAACAGAATGAAAACAAAACGGTGGTTTAAAACCTCATAATCAAATCGTAAATACCTCGACACCTTATCGCATAGAGTCGACGCCGAGGCCGATTTCCTCTTAAACAAAACAGCCTAATTAAGCTATAAACAAAGCCACAACACGGGCCCCCAAAATATTGAGGTTTAAGACCCTATACTAATCTCAGGGAGCCATTAAGTGTCGACAGGTCGCAGCGAGGAGTCCGCGGGGGCCCATAAAGATTACCACACGATAACCTGACTACTGGACCCATCGGACCTCACACATGCCCTCAGACCCCCACATAAATACTCAGGATGGCTTCATATCGACAAAAACTCGGCGATAAATTTGGCGCCCCTTAACACGTAAATGTTCTTAATTATAGTGTAATATCCGGGCCGCATTTCGTGATATCTAATCTGTTCACTCTTATGGTCGATGCCCATCCAATCTCGGTTCTCTTCACAAGGATAATGGTCGTAATTTTTTCAATATCGATTATTGATTCTGGTGCAGGATTTATATTAACACGAATCTCAGTAGTGAGCATCGAAATCCCTTTTTTAAATTGCCCATGATCGATTCTCTCTAATGTGGAAGACCTGCTACCTAATCTATTTCGTATCAATCAATATAATATCTTGTGATATCCGTATTTATTATGGGTGTTAC